TCGCCTCTTGTTCAAAATCATAGAGTAAAGATAGTCCCCTCACACTCATCATCACATGACATGGGAAGTCACCTCATGCCTCATGAATTTCATAGTCTTTTAACTTAGATTCACTTTAGGTGAGCAATCATTTCAACCTAGAATCAATTAATGTGAGCAAGTCTTTCACATTCATACATACATAAGGAATCATATGGGTAAAGTCCTTCCACAACAATCCTATCTAAAATCAACAATTCATGCTCAAGCTTTTCTCTCAAATCCCTACAAGTCTTGATTATTATACGTGCTTTACTCTCAAAGATATTAATATCATAATCATCTCATATGCTTAAATCTTAAAGCAATTCTGATCATAATTCATCATATAGGTTTCAATCTCAAAGAAATTCCTAATATATCTCATCAATCCTATATGAATACATCTAAACCCACAGTTTTTCCTTTCATGGCATAAAACCCATTTACATCAGTTTCATATTTCTAGACATGGGTTAGGCATGGGTACATGTAAATTCATCCTAAAAACATGTAATCTTATCAATTCATGCATCAACAATCATAATCCAATTATTTGGATCAACATTCATCAATACCCAAAACTTTAGAAGAAAACCCTATTCAAATTAGGGAAATTCTACTTTTTACTTGGGGAATCATAGGGGCACCATGGATTAAAGGATTCCATGGATGAAAAGCTACCATACCTTGATGACAAAGCCCACAATTTCTTGAGGAATGTAGACTTGACCTTGATCCTAGCTCACACTCTTTCTTCTTCTTCAAGTTCTAGAGAGAGAAATATTTGAGAGAAGAACTTTGGAATTTCTTTTGGGTGTTGGAAATAATGACTTGAATGGGTGAGTTTTGGGGTTAAAATCACTCATATAGGGTCCCAGGCTTGGGTAAAACGACATGGCTTTGATCTTATTAAAATCGGAAAAGACCGTTAAGCCCCCAACTTACAGGGAACTGCCCCTTCTTCATGTGAGGCTCCACGAGCCGTGGTCCCCACCATGAGTCGTGGTGCCTTCCGTGGTTATGAACCAGTGGCTTGGGAACCACCCACTTAACCCCTAAAAACTTAGTCTTCACCACGACCCCTACCACGGCTCGTCAAGGCCTTCACCAGCCATCTAGTGGCTCGTGGGGAAGGTCCTATTTTTAGGCAGACTTGGAGGATTACTGCCTCACCTCCACGAGTGGCACCACAATTTGTGGTGACCACCATGATCAATATGCATGAAACTTCTACATTTCTCAAGTTCAAGGAGGAACTACCATCTCCAAGCTAAAGACATGTTCAACACGATCTCATGGAGCTTATATGCAATTCATTCTCAAAAAACATAGCTAAAACATGTTCAACAACTCATCTCATGAAGTCTAAGGCAACACATACCCAATGCACAACAACATTAGGAAAATCAATCATGTAAACTCATTTCCTTTCAAAACACAAGTTTTTCATGAACATGCATAACATAGGGAAATCATTGGAATATCTAAAACACACATGACTTTAAACAAAGAGCAAACCATGAGGAATTCATTACCTCAAGGTAGAAGAGGAGTAGAAGGAAAAAGATGAGGATATCGGGACTTCATATCGGCCTCGGCCTCCCAAGTAGCACCCTCAACTAAATGATTATTCCATAACACTTTTACGGAAGCAAACTCCTTGTTCCTCAATTTCTTAACTTGCTAGTCTAAAATCTTAATCGGTACTTCATCATAAGAGAGATTCTCATTAACTCCCAACCCTTCTAAGGGAACTATAGATGTTGGATCTCTAACGCATTTCTTCAACATAGAGACATGGAAAACCGGATGCATCGACGCCAACTCTTTTGGCAAAGCTAATTCATAAGCAACCTTACCAACACGTCTCAATATCTCATATGGGCCTACCAAACGGGGACTAAGCTTTCCCTTTATACCAAACCTCATTACACCCTTCATGGGAGAGATTTTCAAGTAAACCCAATCATGAACATCAAACTCAAGATCTCTTCTTCTAACATCGGCATAGGACTTTTGTCAACTTTGGGATGTTGTCAACCTCTCTCTAATAAGTCGAACTTTATCTATAGCCTCATGAACTAGCTCGGGTTCGATCAAGGCAACTTCACCCACCTAAAACAAACCTATAAAATATATACACCTCCTACCATAGAGAGCCTCAAATGGAGTCATACCAATACTAGAGTGGTAGCTATTATTATAGGCAAACTCAGTTAATGGAAAATGATCATCCTAATTTCCCTTGAAATCGATGACACGTGTTCTCAACATATACTCTAAAGTTTGGATAGTGCGCTCCACTTGCCCATCAATTTGTGGTTGAAAAGTCGGACTAAGCTTAACTTTAGTGCCAAGACCCTTTTGGAAAGACTTCCAAAACTGAGAAGTAACTGAGTAACTCTATCCTAGATAAGGCACAAGGGCACTCCATGCAACCTTACCATCTCCCTCAAATACAACTTAGAATAATCTTCTGGCGAATAAGAAATCTTGACGGGAATGAAATGAGCCGATTTTGTTATTCAGTCTACTATTACCCAAATCGAATCATGTTGTCACCGAGTAAGTGGCAACCCAACTATGAAGTCCATATTCATGTCTTCCCACTTCCAAGTAGGAATTCTAAAATCTTGGGATAAACCTCTCTGTTTCTGATGCTCAACCTTCACTTGTTGGCAATTTGTACACTTAGATATGAATCCCGTAATATCCTTCTTCATCCCATTCAACTAATAGATCTCCCGCAAATTACGGTTCATCTTGGTGGTTCCTGGGTTAATGGAATACCGAGAACTATGGGCTTCTGACAAGATTTGTTCCCTTAAGTCATCAACATTTGGAACACACACAAACGAACTTGATATCTAAGCACACCATCTCCCCTTGGGAGAAAGCCTCTACGGACTTTTTAAGCACCGCTACTTTCAGTTCTACTAAAGTCACATCTAGACATTGCTTAGCTTTCACATCTGTACAAAAAGATGATTCCGACCCTTATGAACCATGATACCACTTTTGGTGGAATCAACTAGTTGAACACCCAATCGGGACAATCTATGTACAGTCGTACCAATTCTTTCTTTATCATCATCAATATGAGCAACACTACCCATAGATAATCGACTAAGAGTGTCCGCTACTACATTTTCCTTACGGGGGGTGATAGAGAACACTAATATCATAATTTTTTAATAATCCAACCTACCTTCTTTGGAGAAGATTAAAATCCTTTCAATTGAAGACATATTGCAAACTCTTATGGTCAGTGAAAACATCAACATGAACTCCATAAAAATATGCCTCCAAATCTTTAAGGCAAATACAACCGCCGCTAATTCAAGGTTATGGGTAAGATAATTCTTCTCAGGGATCTTTAGTTGTCTTGAAGCATAGGAAATAACTTTATGATTTTTCATAAGCACACATCCCAACCCAATTCTAGAGTCATCGTAATAAACAACAAAGCCATCCATACCCTCCGGTAAAGTTAACATCGGAGCGGAAGTAAGCCTATCTTTCAACTCTTGGAAACTCTTTTCACAAGCTTTGGACCATATGAACTTACCTTTTTTTGAGTCAAAGCCGTCAATGGAGAGGAAATCGTAGAAAATCCCTCAACAAACCTTCTATAATAACCGGCCAAACCCAAGAAACCTTTAATATCCGCAGGTGATAGTGGTCTAGGCAAACTCTTAACCACATACATCTTAATAAGATCTACCTCAATACCCTTACTAGAAACAATGTGACCTAGAAAAGCCACAGACCTTAGCCAAAACTCATATTTGTTGAACTTTGCAAAGAGTTGTTTTTCCTTAAGGATTTGCAACACAATCCTCTATGATTGGTGTGATCATCCTCACATCTCGAATAGATCAAAATATCATCAGTAAACACAATTACGAACATATCAAGGTATTGTCTAAACACCCTATTCATCAAATCCATAAATGTCACCGGGGCATTAGTCAAACCAAAGGACATAACCAAAAACTCATAATGACTACACCGGGTTCTAAAAGCCATTTTTGGAATATCATCATTTTTTACCCTCAATTGGTGATAACCCGATCTAAGGTCGATCTTAGAGAAGTAACTCGCACCTGGGAATTGGTTAAATAAATTATCTATCCTTGGAAGAGTATGCTCAGTCATAATGGTCCCCTTGTTCAATTGATGATAATCGATACACATACAGATTGAACCATCTTTCTTCTTAACAAACAAAATTAGAGCACCTCATGGAAAGATACTCGATCGGATGAAACCCTTATCCAACAAATATTTCAATTGTTCTTTCAACTCCATAAGTTTCGCCAAAGCCATTCTATAAGGAGGAATAGAAATAGGTTATGTATCTGGGAAAAGGTCAATTACGAAGTCTGTTCCCCTTTCAAGAGGAATACCAGGTAGATCATCTCGAAAACTTCTGAAAACTCCTTTACAACATGGACCGACTCAAAAGTAGGGGTTTCGTAATCCATATCCCTCACCCTAACTAGATGGTAAATACAACCCTTACAAATCATACTTCTAGATTTCATATAAGAAACAAACTGACCTCTAGGCATAGAATTTCCCCCCTTTCATTGTAGGATAGGCTCATTTGGAAACTGAAACCTGACTACACGGGTTCTACAATAAATAGAAGCATAGAAAGAGTGCAGCCAATACATACCGAGGATAACATCAAAGTTTAACATATCAAGCTCCACCAAATCAACAAGAGTGACTCTATGGGATAAGGAAACGAGACAGATTCTATAGACCCTCTTAGCCACCATAGAATCACCAATAGGAGTAGAGACAGAAAAATATTCTAACAACACATCTCGAAGAACATCAAACCTCATAGCCACATATGTCGTCACAAAAGACAAGGTAGCATCGGGATAAAGTAAAGCATAAAAATCAAGTAGGTAAACTTTCAACATATCGGTAACCACATCGCGAGAACCCTCTTGCTCACCTCAAGTCTAGAGTGCATAGAATCGATTCTGCTTAGGAGCATTCACATCCGAAACACTTGGAGCAAATGAAGGACAGGGTTGGGCCCTACGACGACTATCTCCTTCATTTCTTGGGACCGAAGGACAATGCCTTATCTTGTGATCCATCTTACCACAACCAAACCAAGCATTAGAACCCGCTAGACAATTTTCCTCATGCTTTCTTCCACATTTAGCACAATCTGGCAATGAAGACCCATTACCACCTCCTTGAGGCTTAGGGTTAGACACTCTTTCATTGTTGAACCTTGGGGGAACCTTATAAGAACCATTCCTGAAAAACCTTTGTCAAAACCTTGAACAACCACGTCCACCGGACTTAGGGTGGGAAGAGTTACCATCATCCATTCTTGACCTCTTAAGCTTTCTATACCTCTCTTTAAGTTTCTCCTCTTCAATTTGTTGGTCATGAACATAAGACGAGAAATTTCCATGTCATGAACTAGCATAGTTGTACGACATTCTTTCACAACCAAGTTAGACACTCCCGAAATGAACTTGCTCATTTTTTCCCTATAGTCAGCCACTATAGAAGGAGCATACTTTAACATTTGAGTGAACCTTCCTTAAAACTCATATTACCTTGCTGGAGATTAATAAACTCAAGAACCTTAGCCAGAACCTATCAAGAAAAGCAGATTTAAACCTTTCCCATTCTATTGGACCTACTTCTACCGATCTTGCTTCTTTCCATTGGTTAAACCAAATCTGAGCAACCCCCTTAAGTTGATAAGTGGCCAATTCTGCCATTTCCACTGGAGTCACTCCCATGATGGCAAACACCTTATAGACCTCAACAATAAACTCTTCAGGATCTTTCTCAACCTTTGAACCATAAAATTTTGGAGGATTCATCCTTGCAAAGTCCTTCACTTTAGAAGCCGACGTACCCACATTTGGGTTCACGGAACCACGACCTTTCTATTAGCTTGGGCCATCACGGCTTGAGTCAACACTTGAAAAGATAACCTAAACTCCACATTTGTCACATTCTCAGCCAAAAGGTCGATCGGAACTTGAGGACCTTGAGGAGAAGCTCCTTGGTCCACAGTCTCTTACTCATTCCTTCTAACTTGAGCCCTTCAAGTACTCATATCTAGTAGCCTCTCATTCATAAATGTGGCGCGCTTCACACTTATGAACAAGACTCTACTTGGCATGGTTTTGAGACATCCTAGAACCATTCTAAACCTTGTGCTCTGATTACCAAGTTTGTCACGACCCAAGGGTACCTCCTAGATGTAACAAGGCGTACAAGACCCCGAAAGGCCTCATACAAGCCACTTAGCTTTCATAACATAAGATAATAGAAATGATGCAGAAATTTAAAACATTTTCAACACAATCAAAGTCTTTAAAAAACAAAGTGGAAGTCTCATATTACTTGCCTCAAAACCATCTAATACAAAGAGTCATTGGGACACAGCCCATACAATAATGTTCAAAACATAAAATGAAAGATATAAGGAAATGGTGGTTAAATCCTCGAATGCTATGAGGACTCACCAATCTTCAAGCCTTGCTTCTACTAAGATCCTAGCCACGGGGATGAGAGTCGAGAACGCCGGACCCTACATTTGGATAAGAAATGTAGGCAAAAGTATGCGTTAGTACAAAAATGTACTAAATATGATAGCTTGCATAAACATCAACATAAACATAAGCATTAGATAACATAAGTCATAAGCATAATCAATGCACATAATAAATCATCATAACAAGGAGGAATACTTCCTCAAGTAACCTCAACTTATCCTTAGTCAAGACTTGGGTCATCCACCTCTAGTCATACTTATATCATAGAAGGCAACTCAAGCAACAATCCAAGCATCCTTCTTCATAACATAATTCATACTAATTCATACTTACAATTAAAGACATGGGGATTCGCCTCCTTGCCTCCTATAAAGGCTAATGGGTATTCACCTCTTGCCTTGCTATAAAGTCTAATGGGTAGTCGCCTTTTGCCTTACATACTTTAGGATCATGGGTATTCGCCTCCATGTCCAACATCATAAGACACGGGTATTCGCCTCCACATCTTTCTATAAAGGTCATGGGTATTCGCCTCCATGCCCAATCATCATTATGGGAATGAGGATAGTCTCTTATAGTTCAATCATACATAATAGGAACGTGGGTAGTCACCTCTTGTTCAACATCATAGAGTAAGAATAGTCGTCTCACACTCATCATCACATGACATGGGAAGTCACCTCATGCCTCATCAATTTAATAGTCTTTTTAACATAGATTCATTTTTAGGTGAGCAATCCTTTCAACTTAGAATCAATCAATGAGAAAGCCTTTCACATTCATACATACATAAGGAATCATGTGGGTAAAGTCCTTCCATGACAATCCTATCTAAAATGAACAATTCATGCTTAAGCTTTACTCTCAAAGCCCTACAAATCATGATTATTATACATGCTTAACTCTTAAAGCAATCAATATCATAATCATCTCATATTCTTAAATCTCAAAGCAAATTTAATCGTAATTCATCACATAGGCTTCAATCTCAAAGCATTCCTAATGTATCTCATCAATCCTATAAGAATACATCTAAACCCAAAAATTCTCCTTTCATGGCATGAAACCCATTTTCCTCAATTTCGTCTTTCTAGACATGGGTTAGACATGGGTTAGGCATGGGTACATGTAAATTCATCCTAAAAATAGCTAATTCTATCAATTCATGCATAAACAATCATAATCCAATCATTTGGATCAACATTCATCAATACCCACTACTATAGTAGAAAACCCTAATTCAAATTGGGAAAATTTTACTTTTCAATCAGGGAATCATAGGGGCTCCATGGATGAAAGGATTCCATGGATGAAAAGCTATCATATATTGATAACAAATCCCACAGTTTCTTGAGGAATGGAGAGTTGACCTTGATCCTAGCTCCAACTATTTCTTCTTCTTCAAGTTCTAGAGAGAGAAATATTTGACAGAAGAACTTTTGGATTTCTTTTGGGTTTTGGAAATAATGACTTGAATGGGTGAGTTTTGGGGTTAAAATCACTTATATAGGGGGTCCTAAGCTTGGGTAAAACGACATGGATTTGATCTAATTAAAACCAGAAAAGACCCTTAAGCTCCCAACTTACAAGGGATTCCCCCTTCTTCACGTGACGTTGCACGAGCTTCAGTCCGCACCACGAGTCGTGGTGCCTTCCATGGTCATGAAACAGTGGCTTGGCAACCACCCCCTTAACCCCTAAAAGCTAAGTCTTCACTATGACCCCTCACATGGCCCATCAAGGCCTTTACGAGCCGTCTAGTGACTCGTGGGGAGGGTCCTATTTTTAGGCAGACTTGGAGGCTTACTGCCTCACCTTCATGAGTGGAACCACGATCTGTGGTGACCACCACGATCTGTCTTAGCTCTCGTAGGAGGTGATCTTTCTTTGGTCACTCACTACCTAGGTCCATGGGCACCACCACGATCCGTGGTGCCCTTCATGATTTGTGTGGACCATCATGGAGGGTGCCAAGGTGAATTTCTATAGCCCTTTACTTGGTACTTAACCCCTAGCATAGCCTACTAGATTCTGAGGTGTTACAAACACCTTGTAAACCTCATCAATGAAATCTTGAGGATCTTCCTCAACCTTAGAACCATAGAATTCTGGAGGTCTAATCCTTGTGAAGTCCCTCACACTAATGTCGTCGTACCCGCATTTGGGTTTACGGGGTTCACAACTTCCCTATTGACTTGGGTCGTCACAGCTTGAGCCAACACTTGAAAAGAAGTCCTAAACTTTGTATTAGTCACTTGCTCGGTCAAAGGGTCAACTGGAGCTTGAGGAGCTTGAGGAGCTTGAGGAGGAGCTCCTTGATCAACATTTTCTCCCTCAGTCCTTCTAGCAAAAGCCCTTCGAGTAGTCATATTTGTAGACCATCGGGTAAGGATTAAAAGAGAGACTTTATATAATTAAACTCTATCACATGACTTAGAGTGAAGAAAGAAGTGAAGTTTCCTACACATCTAGTGGTCTCTCATTCATATATGTGGTGCGCTTCACACTTATGAACAAGACTCTACTAGAAGTAGTTTTGATACATCCTAGAACCATTCAAAACATTGTGCTCTAATACCAAGGTTGTCACAACCCAGGGGTACCCTCTAGACGTAACAAGGCGTACAAGACCGCGAGAGGCCTCATACAAGCCACTTAGCATTCATAACATAAGATAATAGAAAATACGAGATTTTTAAAACATTTCAATACAATCAAAGTCTTTATAAAATAAAGCAGAAGTATAATACACTTGTCTCAAAAACCATCTAATACAATACAATCCTTGGGACACAGCCCATACAATAATGTTCAAAACATAAAATGGAAAGAACATAATAAAACTAGTGAGCACATCCTCGAATACTATGAGTACTCACCAATCTTCAATCTTGCCTCTACTATAGATCCTAGTCACAGGGATGAGAGTCGAAACTGTCGGACCCTAAATTTGTATAAGAAATGTAGGCAAGAGTATGCATTAGTACAAGAATGTACTAAATATGATAGTTTGCATAAACATAAGATTTAGGCAACATAAGTCATAAAAGCAAAATCAATGCATATAATAGATCAGTTCAACATAAAAGGAATACTTCTTGAAGTAACCTTAATTTATCCTTACTCATCATGAAAGGAAACTAAAGCAACAATCCAAGCTCATCACCTATCATATCATATCTTAGCTTATCTTTTGAAGACATGGGGAATCACCTCTTGCCTAACTATAAAGGCTCATGGGTACTCACCTCTTGCCTTACTTTCTATGGAATCATAGGTAGTTGCCTCTATCCCTTTACTTAGGATCATGGGTATTCACCTCTAGTCCAACATGATGTGACATGGGTAGTCGCCTCGTGTCTTTTACATTATAGGACCATGGGTACTCGCCTCTAGTTCAACTTGAAGGAATAAGGGTAATGGCCTCTTGTTCTATTCTAAGGAATATGGGTAATCGCCTCATATCCTTCTCATTTAGAGGTCAAGGGTAATCGCCTCTAGCCTCACCAATTTCTTAGTCTTTAGCTTAGGGAAATCGCCTCTAGCCTCACCAATTTCATAGTCTTTAGCTTAGATTCATTTTAGGTGAGCAATCATTTCAACCTAGAATCATTCAATGTGAAAAAGCCTTTCACATTCATACATAAGCCATTCATGTGGGAACTATCCCTTCCACAACAATTGCATCAATAATCAACAATTCATAATAGAAGTTTTACTCTCCATGCCCTACATATCATAATCATCATATATGCTTCACTCTCAAAGCAATTTATATCATAATCATCACATATTCTTTACTCTCAAAGCAATTATAATCATAATTCATCTTATAGGCTTCAATCTCAAAGCAATTCTAATGTATCTCATCAATCCTATAAGAATAAATCTAAACCCACAATTTCTCCTTTCATAGCATCAAATATAATTACATCAATTCCAACTTAGAAACATGGGTTAAGCATGGGTACATGTAAATTCTTCCTAAAAACATGTATTCCTATCAATTCATGCATAAAGAATCATAATGCACTCATTTGGATCAACATTCATCAATACCCACAACTTTAGAAGAAAATATTAACTCAAATTGGGGAATTTCTACTTATCAATTGGGGAACCTTGGGGGCTCCATGGAAGAAAGAATTCCATGGATTAAAAATTCATCATACCTTACTAGCAAAGCCCACAAATGCATGAGGATTGGAGACTTGACCTTGATCCTAGCTTGAACTCTTTCTTCTTCTTCTTCGAGTTCTAGAGAAAGAAATATTTGTAGAGAAGACTTTGTTCTTCTTTTAGAAATTTGAGAGAATGAC